TCAAATATTTAAAAATTCTTTTATGTGGGGTAAACTATGTCACTATCGCCCTTAAAGTTATTGATGTAACAGTTTGTTTACATTGGACGCAGAAGTGCTATAAGATCGAGATGAAAATATAGTTTCCTGTCAGTGAACACACAGCACAAAACATTTTCGGCTGCCATTTTGGGCTATAATCTCTCATCAAATAATTACTATAAGCAAGAAAAAGATGCATCAACGTACTGTCTACGTGCATACTTCGCATATTCTTAGATAACCTCATACTGCATCTAAAAACAGCGACAAAATTATCAATACTAATTTTGCCTGCAGGGTTTTTTGAGAAACACAAAGCAAATCGGTTTTCCCAAAACCAAAACAGGCAAAGATTAAAAAGGACGATGGCGCAATCAGTCTCCTAGTTGCCATGGCAACATTAAGAATTTGAGGACAAAATTAAATTGGTTTCATTTGCATTGTTTAGGTCACCTTTCCAGAAATCAGACCACAAGGGGAGTTGATAAGGGAATCAATATCTACAAATGTCATGAGTGATATGTATTTTTAGACATGTGTATGGTTTTCTCAATTTAATCTCTGCCTTCATGTTTCATGGAAAGAAAGAAATTTAAATTTTCACACATTGTTTATTTTTAAACAGAAAAAAACAGGAGGATTATTGAATACAGTTTTATTGGTATCAATAGAACAAAGTAAACTGGGAGGCAGCGCCCTCTACCAACTTTGGATAGCCCTCTAGTGATAAAAATAATTTGTTTAGAATTACTTTACCATATATTTTGTTTATTAGTCACGCATATGCGTACATAAATGACAGAGGTGTATTTAAAGTCAAACTAAGTCATATTTTGAAGAACTATAAATAGTGTACAATGAATGCATTTTTGGTTTATGTGCACTACTGAATATTCTGCCATCCATCTCTCCCCAGGGTACTCATCTACTTCACTACAAGATTAATAAGGCTTGACCACATGGCTAGACCTACTAAATATTCAGCCACCAATCTCTCCCCAGGATATTCATCTAGTTCACAGTACACTACAAGATGGATTAGACTTGACCACATGGCTAGAACTACTAAATCTTCTGCTACCAATCTCCCCAGGGTACTCATCTAATTTGATTTGACAGTTGAACTTCCATTTAAGGTCAGCATGGCTTGATGGTGAATCTAACTGATGTTAGTCTTAACTTTTTTTAAACCGGTGATTTAATCCAAAAACTATGCTTGATTCAGGAAACATGTAATATAGCAAAGCAGTCGGTTGCATGAGGCAGCCAAATTAAGGTGACCCCTGACCTTTAAGAACTCCAAGAAGCCCATTGAATAAATGACATAATAAGTTGCATGATATAAATAACTGTCATTGATGTTGTTTTTAACAAAAATTAATGCTTTAATCGTAAACTTTATATTTAACTAAATTTCAAAGCACGGTAAAATTAGAGAAGTGTTTTCCAGTTCTGGAAAAAAAAAAGAATTTTAAAAGTAAGAGAACAAGTACACACCCATATGTCACCAAGCTATAATAAGGAAGTTAAGCGTGATTAATGTACTCCTTCATTGCAAGCAGTCAGCTAACCTTTGGACAACACAACATACTGAAGTACAATAATGAATTACCTCATGTAATAACATATATCTAAAAAAACATGCGGAAACTGGTTGCACAATAATAATCATGGTTTGTATTTCTAAACATAGAGTCACAAACATACACATTAGTCCAGCTAACACTCATCTACTATCTCCCTCCCATTCTGTAACAAAAATCCATGGAAATATTGTAATTTCCTGTTCAATGACGTACACATAAAAAATAACATGCAGTACCATATGCAATATAGCAAATATTGACACTCTATTCAACCATCCATTTTAACACTGCCAAATAATCACACTAGCTATAAAACATTCAGAGTAAATTAGGCATAGAGAAAAGTAAAATTAGGCATCAGGAGGTGGATGTGTTTTATTAAACTCAATATATTATACCTGCCAGGTTGCATGCAATTAGGATCAATAATTTGACAAAAAATGAACCACAATTTCTGCTGGAGTCTCTCCCAGAAAATATATATGCTGGTAGCCAAACAGTGGCAATTTACTTGGTTGACTACAATAGTAGAGTAGTTTTCTCCAGAAACTAAATACCTAAACATGGTAACTAATTTGCATACTAATAATACTAATTAGCATATGTATTTTGTCAGAATAGAAATTATCATTGTTTTGTATTTTATCCTTAATTTAATTTAAGTTCAGGCATTGTATTTTTGTGGCATGGTAAAGCTACTATAGTATGCTTAAAAGACCGAAAGCAAATCGTTTGTGAAACAAATGAAAGGGCTTTATAGTGTGTGTGTGTGTGTGTGTGTGTGTGTGCAAATGACAGATTTAATTCTAACAGTGTGAGAGTACAACAAGATGAAAAATAAAAACTGTCATGCATATGTGATGCATAGAATACAATTCTCAATTGCAGTATCCATAGAGAACCAAAATACTAGTCAGATAATGTTCAGGACAAGGCAGGGGACAATGACAGATGGGTACTATCAAATTTATTGTCAATATACCATATGTCTAGAGGGGTTGAATGAAAGCACTGCTGTTGCACACATTGTTCCACTACATTAGCCATGTGTCATAAAACACCAAA